GCTGAGCATTTGTGGTGGTAGGTCAGTGCTAGACAGATAAAAAGCCTGTTTGTGATCTTGCAGGTCGTTACTGGGAAGTGGTACAAAGGTTGAAAATTAATCAGTTTTATGGAGCACCTACGGCTATACGCTTGCTGCTGAATTATGGAGAAGAGTGGGTGAAGAAATACGACAGATCTTCCTTGAAGACCTTGGGATCAGGTAAGGGGCATGAAATCTTCTGAAAAAGACAGGGGGTTCTAGCTGGTGAAATGAAGGTACCAGAGGAGCTTGGCTGACCAGATGGGATGTGGTTAAAAATAGGTGATAAAGCAGGCTCCCTGTCTGGCTTTTCAGATATTTTCTCAGCAGAAAGAGAAACAAATTGAAGTTGGGGCTATTGAACCTTAGTGTGATTGCCTGTTTCCTAGCTTATTTTGCAGGATTGCATTCTTTGCTAAAAAGATTTATCCAGTGGTATATGACACCACTTTGACTTTTACTGGCTTAGGAGACCCAAGCAGCATTTTCCTGCATTATTTAGAATTCTAGAGGTTCTTATACGTGACCTGCATTGATTAGTTGCTTTCAGTGATATTTATTGCTTGCTTTTTCATCTTTCTGGAAAAAGTCAGTCCTCAGTTACATGAGTGCATTGCAGTCCTTTGCACATCCCAGCAAAAATGCTGTAAGCATTCTGCTCGAAGATCATGCATTCAGCGTGTGGTGCACCAAAAGGGAGAATGAACTGCCTGCAACCCCCTGAGTCTCAGGCTGCGTCCTTTCTTATTTTGGTCTAGTGGGAGAGCCCATCAACCACGAAGCTTGGCAGTGGTTCTACCATGTGGTGGGAGAAGGACGCTGCACCCTCGTGGACACATGGTGGCAGACAGGTAAAAGGCATCCTTTGGGGAGCGTGGAGGGCCCTGACTGTTGACAGGTTGCTGGTGGGTAGAGAAGAATTAATACATTTCAATTTGATCCAACAAGTCTGTCAAAAAAAAACTTCTGGCATTTTGATCAGCTTTTGAAAGTCACTGGGGAGTTTCAGCCTGTAATAGCAATGTAACAGCATATAAAAGCAATACCAATGTTGTTTTTTTTTTTTTTCCTTTTCCCCTCTAAATGTTCTTTGATATTTTGAATGCTGGAAAATCTCAATTGGTTCTAGAAACAGGAGGCAGAGATTGAATTTCTGGGCAAAGCTAGGAGTAGGCAGCTGGAATTGGAAACCTCATTTTCAATTATTTATCCAACCGTACTGACCTTGATATGGTCCTATCATGAAAAGGCATTTACAGCTCCATATAGCCACAATCTGTACTTAGGTGTGCTTTGTTTTCCTTCCTGGGAATGATTAGAGGAGGATGAAAAATGAAGCTGTGTAGCTAAAGGGACCTAGTGCAACTGGTCTGGCAGATTGGAAAGGAGTGAGTGGAGGCTTGCTGGCTGTGCATCGGGTGGGCAGGGGACAGTGGCTGTCACCCAGCAGGGCTGCCTGGGAGCAGCTTCTCCCAGAAGCAGTATGCCATAATTGCTTTGGCCCTGGACCTCTGATGCCTCAAAAAGGAGCGCGCTTCTGTTTTGGCAGCATGCTTGGCCCAGCTGTGTGCATCAGTTAAGGCTTGTTTTCCATTTACAACCTGCTGGACAGAGTGAATGGCTCTCATAGATCCCTGTCCAGCTGGAGCAGAGCTGATCCCTGCCTCCTGCCCTCCCTGGCCAGCAGCAAAGAGAGGCCACGGTGTTGCACTCTGGCTGGGGCTGTGCTGCCTGGTGGGGCCCTGTGCTTGAAGGAGTCCTGCAGCTCCTTCCCAGCCACCTCAGCATCAGGTCCTCTCTTATGGGCACCAACATTCAAGAGTTGCTAAAGGTGTCTTGCAGTATGTCCTTCTCAAGTTGTGAACCACACAGTTTGCCATGGAGCCATGGACTTAAGGGACACAGCACAGCTGCTGGCATTCTGCCTCTGCTGAAAAAAAGCTGTCCCTACTCTTAAATCTCTAGCTGCCATTGGGCAGAATACTCATTCCCTTTCCAGTCAAGCTGCTCCTGATTTCATCCTTATTCCTGCTAGCAGGCTCTCTCTTCAGGATTCCTGTGGCCCATCTCAATGAGATGAATTAGCTTCTAGCACACAACCAAGTTCCATTTAATCCAGACCAGGCTTGCAGGCTCTTTTTATTTTCAGATTTGAAATAAAACAAACTCAGAATTCAGAGCGGCAATGTTAACTACTACCTACTTCAGTTACTGATCTCTTAAACCATCTGGGTTCTCACGTGCTGAGCAGAAGGAAAGCTGACTGGCTAGGTGCTATATACTTTCCTCCTCACTGCTCTGAAATAAAACACTGTGGAGAAGCAGTGGATTACTGTACGGTGACAGAGTTGAGAAGAATCGGTTTTTGCCTTAGCGTTTTTTGGTTTAGTTTGTCTTCAGTTAACTGGTGCATGCAGTGTGCATGCATTGTCTCCTATTTCCTCTGAAGTATAGGATTAGATCTTATATTAAACTGTATTTCTCCTGGGTTTTTGGAGCAACAACTGTCAGGTGAGAGATTAAAGAACATTTGCTGGACAGCAGAGTGCTTGATCTTACCTTGAACAAGGCATAGTTTTGCAGGTAAACAGTTACCAGCTCCTAGAAGCATAATATAATGATAAATACTCATGAAATTGATTTTATTAGAAAGTAGAATCAATCTTTCTCCACAGTTGATGCTTCCAATAAAGAGGAAGCCAAATTAATCTTGGAAACTGATATATTCCCTTTGAATGTAAAGGGATCATGGAAAGACATCATAGAAATACTTTGATGGATGCTGGTTGTGGTCCTGCAGTGTCACCTCTTGTACACAATTTCAGTATACCTTGTTAATTGTACTGTTGTATGCAGTGTCCTCTACGGTATGTTGCTCTCCGAAGCAGCAATGTGTTGCTAGCTAATAAAGCCCAGTAGGCGTAAAGATCAGCAAATGGTGATTTAAGAATCCACTTGAAAGTCTTTGGATGAGCAAATGAGTGAGATAGCAATTACGAGAAGCAATGTAAGTAGTGTTGTATGTGCAGATGAGAGAGCTGGAAAATTCCTATGGCTCTTACTGTTAAAATATTAGGTACTGCTGGGCTGTGATTGACAGTAATAGCATCAAAGCTGTGTTTGAGTTTCAGGTGTAGCTCTTCACAGTGCAGAAAAGACACTAGGTATTTTTACTTTTGTCATTGGTTTTATAAAAAAAATACAGCTGTTGTATGCAGCTGTGAACAAAAGCTGGTTTTGAAAGACAGCTCTGAATAGGCCCTGGAAGCTTTTTTTGTTGTCATCATCTTAACAGCAATTTAGACTGGGCTGGTGTTTCTGAGACTGATTCCCCCTGAAGCAGTCGGTCCAATCTATCTGTGGTGGTGAACACAACGGTGGCAGAGTACGTGCTCCACCCTGCTGCCAGAGGTGATTTACTCATGGGGAGGGGAGCCTGTTTCGATGTATCACCCTCCCTGCTCAGACTCTGCGGTCCTTGCGTAAAGTCTGGGTGGATTTGCGCTACAGCGACAGCACGGGCACAGGTAATGTGGAAGCATGGCTTTTCTTCTGCCAGCTCTGCCTCTAAAGAGACAGACTTCGTAAGGGCAGGGTAGAGCCTAGAAGCCTTGCTAGCTGTCATCTGTCAGTGGCTAAAAGTGGTACTTTTAAACCCATTTAGAATAGGTCTTTACCATGCAAATAATTTTTAAAGCACCCTTGCCTCCATGCAGCTCCCTCTGGAATGTGACTTTACTGCCTTATGTGCAGCCCGCTGCAGCATGTGTAGGATGTGGCAAAACCCATGTTGAAACACAGCTTGCAGTGCTGTATTCAGAATGAGTACTGGCTTAGGATGAGCAACCATCAGTTTAATCAGGTTCCCTGCTCTGATGCAGATTTTGTCTGTGCAAACAGGGAACAGTAGGTGTTTGGGGTGCTTTTTTCTTTTTCTGAAAAAATTCAAGATGACCCTTTCAAAATAAACAGAAACGTGTGAAGTAGATGCATGTGCATCAATGAAATGTGAAATAATTTTATGTGTAAGCCACATGTGAAACTATTTTCTGTAGATCTGAAGCTTAGAGTTCCTCAAAGAGACCCTTCCTCATAGCTACATCAATGCAGCTGGATGCAAATTCAGGGTCAAATTCAGCCTTTCCAACACCTGGTTTCAGTTTTCACAACCTCAGCAAAGGCGGTAGAGGAATGCACTCTCCCAAGTGGCAGAACATACCTTTATTTATAGAGCTGTATTTTTAAAAGCCTAACACTCCTTTGTTTTTGTTTCTCTTGTGTTTCTGAATTAGTTTTAGAACAGAAAGGGTCTGATTAAGGTTGGAATCTGATTAAACGTTCATCCCAGCAGGAA